GAAGGCAGCTAGTCAGCACCACTCACCGCCAACACTTGGACTACTCTTTTACCAACAACAAGAAGACTATGAAACTATGATGAAACAATTTAAAGACAGAATTTTAGAAACCCTAGTAATCGCCAAATCGTATTTTCTCACCTTGCTGGCTAGCTAAGCTTCCATCTTCCACTCTACTAACATACACACACAGTTCGTCTTGGTGATCAGCGTTCTCCACTAACTCCGCCTCCACGCTGAAGCCGAACAGATGTTCCAACGTTGTTCTGGTCAGGTCAACTTGGTACAAAACCTTGGCACAGACCTGAAGAATTTCGTATTCTTTCTGCAAAACCGTGATTACTATTATATCATACGAACGTTATTACGTATGCACAGCACACTGCGAGCAATTTAAGTGATACTTTTCATTTCCAACTAGTAAACGTCTTTAGGAAATATTAGATAAAACTATTGAGAATTTCGTGTGAAAACTGCTGCACACTGTAATAGAGTTAAGCTTTTTCACATAAAAAGGGTTAAGATTCACATACAATATATTCTTGGCACTCACACTAATAGCTAATAACGTTCAAATACTGGCAGTATATAGATAATTAAGTGAAACTTACTAGCATTTAGACTAGTAACATTTAAATAGTGACGTGAGAACATATTTTGTTAAGTAGTTGCACATGTGTGCGATGCTATGGAAACCATAAAAACATCCCAGCCATGCGTTTTTCATGAGTACAATCAACATTTTGTCCTGGGAAAGTCATGGTGACATTAAGCGTTCTGTTTGGTCTATTCTGTACGAATTCTACCAGAGAAGGCCGGGAAATACGACATTATCTCTCTTTCCTTTATTTACATTATGAAGTAACTATATATATATATATATTTGTGCGCACTAAAATTCATAAACTTTAGACTACTTTTACAAATAACACCTAGTGAGACGATATTGAATAATTGCTAGTTATCAAAGAAAGACGTGATCATGTAAGTACACCTTTATCGAGGTTAATTAGACCATATTAGGCACAGTATTCTTGAAGTTTATTTTCCTATTAAACGTTTATGTTAAATATGTAACACGTGTTACATAAACAACGACATGTGCTACAAAGCCGTGTGTGTAAAAGCTACACCACGTCGTTTTACATAGCGATCTATTTGGAGACAATCTGTGATCGACCTATCTCGCTGTTAACAGCTGACACTGCTCGAAACTAGTCATGGAATGGGTTGCGCTACTCAGCGTGGGTTTATATGTTTCCATATTACAGTCTCAATTAGGTTTAGCCACGGACACTAAACATGACACCTGTCTCTTGCTGATGTAATACGTTTTTTTATGTGTGTTTTATTTATATATAATAGAAAATTACCCGGAAAACTGCAACTACACAAAAAATGTAATGAGCTTGATTGGAAATATTATTTACATGTTCTCGTCAATTCCCAAGTACTTCCGTGAAGTCAACGCGGAGAACCTCCGAAACGTCATTGACTTCCATGTGAGGACGAAATCGAAAGATTTCCAAAACCCTAAAAGTAGATTCTTGTTTCGAATGACAACTTACAAGTTCGTGCCATTTTCATAAGTTAGTTCTGATGGCTCTTAAAGCTTCCTTGGTCTTCCACATAAGGCTTTAATTTCAAATGTCCCAACATATGAATTTAAATTACGTCAATTTTTAAGTAAAGTAGTTCAGCCAAACCTACGAGTTCCTAACACCCTTTTGATTTCCCCATTTTTGACGCTCTGTCATAATTCGTCCGAATTTTTTCCAGTTAATATCCTGTAGGGATCAAGAGCCTATAAGCAAAATCTCAGCTTGTTTTGTCAAAATACTGACATATAAAATTGAGAATTACTATGTAGATACGATCTCGGCTATTACAGATTATTATCACAGAAATCCGTAGTCAAATTTATGCCACATGAGAAACCTTGGTAAGGCTAGTTCGCATTCGGTGATTATTGTGTAATCTGAGAAACCTGGATGAAGCTATTTCATGCTTGGTGATTATTGTGTAACCAGAAAAACCTGGATGAGGCTATTTCATGCTTGGTGATTATTGTGTAACCAGAGAAATCTGGATGGAACTGTTCATGTTTGGTGATTATTGTGTAACCTGAGAAATCTGGATGGAACTGGTTCATGTATGGTGATTATTGTATAATCTGAGAAATCTGGATGGAACTGGTTCATGACTGAGAGCGTGGATTGGCTCTATGGTGGAGCTCTGGATACCACAAAATATTTCCCGCCATTTAAGCTGTGGGTGTATGATCAAAGCGACAGTCAATCCCTTATCGTGATGGTGGGTGGTAGGGTACTCATGATTGGTTCAAAATTAAGGACGACAGCAGGCAGCCTTAGTAGCTTTTCCGTAAATAAAAAATAAAAAGTTTATGTTTGATAAGTAATAGTGTATCTGTATCTTACCCCGAGTTATCTGACTAGTTAATTCTAGTAAGTAATGTCCTTTAGTTATCGTGCCCTTTGTGGTACTGATAGTGAGTAATGGTTTTTAGTTATCGTGCCCTTTGCCACAAAGGGCACGATAACTAAAGGTCATTGTTTACTATCAGTATCAACTATCAGTAAAGTAATGACCTTTAGTTATCGTGCCCTTTGTGGGCTGGTAGTTAGTAACGACCTTTAGTTATCGTGCCCTTTGTGATACTGATAGTAAACAATGACCTTTAGTTATCGTGCCCTTTGTGGTACTGATAGTAAGTAATGACCTTTAGTTATCGTGCCCTTTGTGGGCTGGTAGTTAGTAACGACCTTTAGTTATCGTGCCCTTTGTGATACTGATAGTAAACAATGACCTTTAGTTATCGTGCCCTTTGTGGTACTGATAGTAAGTAATGACCTTTAGTTATCGTGCCCTTTGTGGGCTGGTAGTTAGTAACGACCTTTAGTTATCGTGCCCTTTGGGATACTGATAGTAAACAATGACCTTTAGTTATCGTGCCCTTTGTGGTACTGATAGTAAGTAATGACCTTTAGTTATCGTGCCCTTTGTGGGCTGGTAGTTAGTAACGAC